TTTTGTTTTAATTTTCCAGGCATTAAATTTTGCAGAAACAATCAACAATTTCAGTAATTCAAACATTTATACGTATTTTGAGTAAACACTTACAGAGGAAACTGGTTTTCATGCATATTTTGTTTGGCGATGTCGATTGCAATCTCCCTCCACATTGAAAAATCATTTCTCTCATGGCTCTTGGCAGCAGAGAATACCAGAAGAATGTCTATCTGTGCTTCATTGACTATGCAAAGGCTTTTGACTGTGTGGATCACAAGCTATGGCTGACTCTGGGAAGAATGGGAATCCCAGAACATTTGATTGTGCTAATGCGAAACCTATACTTAGACCAAGAGGAAGTCATCAGAACAGAGCAGGGAGACACTGAATGGTTCAAAATCAAGAAAGGGGTCCATCAGAGATGTATTTTGCCTCCACACCTTTTTAATCTGTATGCAGAACAGATCATCTGAGACGCGGGGCTGTACAAGGAGGAATGTGGCATCAGGATTGGTGGAAGAATCATCAACAACCTGTGTTATGCAGATGACTCAACCCTGCTCGCTGAAACTGCGGAGGACCTGAAGTGCTTGTTGCAGAAGGTCAAGGACTGCAGTTTTCAATATGGATTGAAGCTCAATATCACGAAAACAAAGATTCTCACCACTGGGCCAATTGGAAGCATCAGTATGGATGGTGAAGAGATTGAGGTAGTTAACAGTTTTCATTTACTTGGCTCCACAGTCAACACTCTTGGTAACAGCAGCCAGAAAATCAGGAGACGAATTGCTCTGGGAAAGTCAACTGTGAGGGACCTCTCAAGAGTACTGACGTGCAATGACATCAGGCTGGAGACTAAGATGCACCTGACCCAGACTATAGTCTTTGCAATTACGTGCTATGCTTCAGAGAGTTGGACAGTGAATAGGGATGATAGAAAGAGAATTGATGCCTTTGAGTTGTGGTGCTGGAGAAGAGTGTTGAATATACCATGGACTGCTAGGAGAACAAACAGGTTTGTCCTGGAGAGGGTGAATCCAGAATGTTCCTTGGAGTCAAGGATTCTGAAGCTTCGTCTGACATATTTTGGGCATGTTGCAAGGAGGGACTGGTCCTTGGAGAGGGACATCATGTTTGGGAGAGTGGAGGGATGGTGCAGGAGAGGAAGACCCTTGATGAGATGAATCGATTCTGTGAGTGGAGTGGTGGGAATCAATGTGTTTGAGACCACAAGGTTGGCACAGGATAGAACGGCGTTTAGGGCTCTTGTACACAGGGTTGCTATGAGTTGCATGTGACTTGATGACACACAACAACAACAACTCTCCCATTTTGTGTTTCTCATTTCATCCTTCCATTTTCCCTTCCTTCTTGCCTTCTGAATTTGAAGTAATTTCTTTCCTAAAGTTTTTGTTGCAAAAGGTAAAGGACTGTGATCTTCAGTATGGATTGAAGCTCAACATCAAGAAGAAAAAGGATTCTGACCCTTGGTCCAATTGGCAGCACAATGATAGGTGGAGATAGAATGAGGTGGTAAACAATTTCCACTTGCTTCAGTTCAAATCAACACTCTTGGCACCAGCAGTCAAGAAATCAAAAATGAATTGCACTGGGAAAAACTGTTGTCAGGAACCTCTCATAAGTGCTGAAGAGCAATGATATGTGTCTGGAGACTAAGCGTGATTCAGGCCGTGTCTTCACAATTACTTGCTATGAATCAGAGACCTGCACAGGGACTAAAGATGACAGAAGAATTGATGCCTTTGAGTTGTGGTGCTAAAAAAGAGTATTGAACATACTGTGAACTGCCAAGAGAACAAACAGTTTTAAAATAGAGTGAAAGAAGGCTTCTCCTTGGAGGCAAGTATTTTGAAGCTCTGTCTCACACACTTGTTCACATGGCCAGAAGGGACCACTCCTTGGAGAAGGATACTATACTTGAAAGGGTGGAAAGACAGTACAGAAGAGGAACACCTTGGATAAGATGGATTGACAGCTGGGCTAATGGGATTGGTGTATTGAAGACAGTGAGACTGGTTAACGATAGACCAGAGTTCTGAGCAAGTATACATTGGGTCACCATGAGGTGCAGGTGACTTGATGGCACATGATAAAAACAATGACAACAATTCCTTTCTTATTAATCCCAAATTGTTTATGGTTATAAGGATTGCACACCTCCTCAGCGTTTTTGTTGACATCCTACACTGTCTATTGTTCAATTTTTAAAATGGAATGGAACGCATGAACACCAATATTCTAAGCATTAAGAAGATGGATGAGATGGACCAGCGTTGGCCATTTTGACTTGGCAATCATATGGTATCTACGACTCGGCGGCATCAAACAACAACAACAATAGCAACAATCATATGGTATGCGATGCATGGAATGAAAAATAAAAGAATTGTGTTGCATTCATAGTCAAAAAGTCAATTTCAATTATATCCTGAAATTCAATGTTACAAATGATAATATTCATATGCATACAAAGAAGATCCATTATCACTATTAGTCAAATATATGCTCCTACATCTGGAGCCAAAGAGGAAGAATTTGAGAATTTTTGCCAAGCCTTGCAGTTCAAACTTACAGAATATGCAATAAAGATGCACTGGTGATGAGTAGGGAATATGTATAAGGCGATCAAAAGAACGGATAAATCAGTCTTCTAGGAGGTGTACCTAAGGTGCTCCTTAGATTTAATGAAATATAGTGAAATAAGGTCTCACATACTGTGGACATGTTGTAAGGGGGTGCTAGTTCTTGGCAAAATATAACATGCTTTGCCAAGTGGAGGATCAGGTACAGAGAAAGATCCTTAATGGGACAGATTGGAACAGTGACCACAGTAGAAGCCTAGAGCATATGGAAGTCTTTTTAAATAGACTTAAAAGTTGACTTCTGTGGTGCTATGTGCTGTAGTCTACTTGAAGTCACCTAACAATGGCTACAATAAGATTTTTACAACTAGATTCTTCAGCCAAGACAAATCCACAATTCCTTAGAGTAGTTGAGGCTCCTATACAACTGATTGCATTTACAGCCATTATTGTACTATGTAAACTATGCTACAAGAGTGTATGTATTGTGCGTCTTTCAACAAAAGCTTTTAGAATATAATAATTATTATGTTCATGTTGTTGTTATTGATCTAAAATCAACTAATAACTGACATTCTAGTGGGTTTTCAGGAGCTGGAAATTACACAGGAGGAGATTGCCCCACATTCCCCCATGGAAGGGCTGGTAATGCAAACTACCTTTGTGTTGACTGTGCCACATCTTAACGCTAGAGCTCCCTGTTAATCATTACAGTTAAATAAAATGTATATTACATATTTTGCCTAAAGATGTTTTACTCTTTAGTTTATTGTATTTTACTTTCATTTTTAGGGTAAATGTCAACTATTATTTTGCATACTTGCTCAAACATTTTTACTGGAATATTCTGAAAGAAAAAAACAGATTATATCTGACTAATGTAAAGAACTGTTATATTTTAAACATAAATGATACTTCACTGAATGAAGATTCCCAAGTCTGGTGGAATAATCTGTAGGGAGCTGTACTGGTAGCTCAAAGATCATTCAACGCTAGTAGTTCAGAATGACCAGAGGCTGCTATGTAGAAAGACAAGCATTCTTCTCTAACACACGTGTTGCCAAAGATTAAAGAATGCAGCCTTCTATACAGATTGCATTGCAATATCAAGAAAACAAAGGTTCTTACCACTAGACCAATAGGCAATACCATGATGGATGCAGAAGAGATTGAAACTGTCAACAACTTCATCTTACTTAGATCCACAATTAACACCCTTCGTACCAGCAATCAGGAAATCAGGAGATGCACCAACTGGGGAAAAGAGCAATTAGATACCTCTCCAAATTATGGAGGAGTAATGATGTCAGTTTGAGGACTAAGGAGCATCTGATTCAGGCAATGATTTTTCTGATCATTTGCTATACCTGTGAGAGCTGGACAATGTGTAGTGATGACAGAAGAATAGATGCCTTTCACCTGTGGTGTTAGAGAAGAGCACTGAACACCCTATGGCATTCCAAAAGAATAAACAAATATATCTTGGAGAAGGTGCAGTGAGAATGCTCTTTGGAAGAAGAATGATGAGAGCCTCCTATACGTCAGGCATGTTGCTAAGAAGGGCTATTCAGTGGAGAGTCAATAAAGGAGTCAAAGACCCTCAACTGGGTGGATTGACACAGTGACTGTTACAATGGGCTTATTGTGGCAGGAAGAGTGAAGATGGTACAGGATAGAATGGAGTTCAGATTCATTTTTCATAGGGTCGCTCTGAGTGATGCTCAACTTGACAGCAATGAATAACAGCAACTTTCATTCAAGATCCATGCTGATGTGACATGACGCAAAATGAAGTGAAACACGGGACTGACATCAGGGTTGAGGGAAGTCAGAAAAGGAGGGAAGGAATGATGTATACTGTATTAAAACAGATGAGGGAAAGAACTGTTTAAAAGTGTTATGTAAATAGGTATTCTTATCATTACAGAAGTCTAGAGTAAAGGATGCATAGTGGAGTGGACTTGGGGGGAGGGATTGCATAACAATGTGCTTTTAATTTCAAGGAGAAGAGTGAACTGGGGGAGACGGGGTGGGCAAGGAGAAAAGTGCAATAATGAATGACTGAAAACAATAAGTCTCTGTAAACTTTCATTAAAATTAATAAAAAATAATTGGAACAATGAATACACAATATACAAATCTAGGATGAAGCTGAAAATATGAAATGGAACACATAATGAAAATTAGTGCACTGTTGGACAGTGACTATCAACCTTACTTTAATTATACATACTTTTAATTTTTGTCCATGAAAATGAATTCATTTCACTCAGCAAAATGTCTTTGTGTGTAATGTATTTTGTGGTATGGATAAAGACTTTTTCCTCTTTATTATTTAGTAGTATTCCATTATATATAAATTATGTATAACATATATAAATTATATAGATGGAAATTTTGGTGGTTTTCATCTCATCAAACAAGTTTTTTAAACAATAATTTTCTCATTGCATCAATAACATCCCTGTTTCTAAGGCTGTATATCATGGGATTAAGCATGGGAGTCACAATAGTGTAGAAAAGAGAGAGTAGCTTGTCCAGTTCTGCAGAATGAGTAGATTTGGGTCTTAAATAGGTGATGGTAGCAGATCCAAAGAACAAAATTACCACCAAGAGATGGGATGAACATGTAGAAAAGGCTTTAGATCTTCCTGCGGCTGTTGGTAGTTTTAGAATAGTGGAAATAATTTTGCTGTAGGAGAAAAGTATCAACATGAAAGGGATTACAACGAACAACATAGCTACCGCATAGACAGACATCTCGTGCACAAAGGTGTCCCCACAGGCCAGCTTGATAATAGGGGGTAGATCACAGAAGAAGTGGTAAATTCGGTTAGAATGACAAAAATGCAGTGAGAATATCTGAGCAGTCTGGCCTATCTGGATTGGAATTCCAGTGACCCAGGAGCCCACTGCTAACTGGGTACACGTCTTTTCATTCATGACTAGAGTATCGTGCAGAGGGTTACAGATGGCCACATAGCGGTCATAAGCCATCACCGCCAGGAGGAAACATTCAGTGGCGCCCAGCATAAGAAGGAAGCACATCTGGATGGCACATTCCCACAAAGAAATGCGTCTCTGCTGAGTCCAGAGATTGAATAGCATCCTGGGGAGAGTGACAGACACATAGCTGATTTCCAGCAAGGAAAAATTTGCCAGGAAAAAATACATTGGTTTCTGTAATGCGGGATCCAGTCTGGTTAATATTATTATGAGGCTATTTCCAATGATAATAATTAGATAAATTATGGAGAACACTCCAAACAGAAACTTCTGGAGATTTGGAAGGTCAGAAAACCCTATCAGTACAAATTGGGTGACAGTAGAGACATTGTCTTCTGCTTTTTTCATTTCATCTTTCATCTGTAGAAAAGATTTAATTCAAAATACAGGTTATTTCACCTTTCTTGGCTTTCATATTTTCCCTTGTAAACTAGAAGTCACATATATAAATTTACCCCCCCCAAGATCTTAGCATAATAGAGCTGACAAGTAACAAGTGCTCTAAAATGATTTGAAAAATCAGTCATTCCAAGATATTAGAACTGAATAATAGCTAACATCCCAGGGGGTTTTCTGAGGCTGTAAACCACATGGAAAGGAGGTCACTTTTCCCTGCCATGCAACTGCTTAAATTGATCTACCAGCTTTCTAAAATCTATCTTAAATCCATCTAAATGGATTTCCAAGCTTCTTTTTTTATTATTACACAATAAATCCATAATAAACATTTATTTCTTTGCTGAAGGACTTTGCATTTCCTTGTTCATAGTGTAAGCATATTTATATGTGGATACTCATATAGAAGCATAGTCTGAAATTATATTCAATGACAGCAATTATTTCATTACTTCACTTGGCATAACTTTTATTGCCATTTTCTCCCAGTATTAATACTTGGAGACTAATTTTATTATCCACATAAATATTCTGTAAGATTTCTAGTATAGTGTCAAAACATTTAACTGTATTTCATAGAAACTCATGATATACCTCTGGTATCTCTCAGAGATATTTTTACTTTAACATATACTGCATTAAGACAATTTTAAGTTATAAGTTTAAGTTATAAGTCCTGATAATGTGGTAATCACCGAATGTTAGCTGTTTGTATTGAATCTTTAACTCTATATAGATATTGAACTGTGAAGGCTCTGATGTTAAAAATAAGATTTTTATTCAGACATGGTTAGAAACAAGTTCACCTAGCTTTAAACCAATATTCACTAGAACGTCTTTTATTCTTTATACTCACTAATTCTGTAAGTCCACTGAACAGAATTCATGCATATTTTCCTACTTTGTCTACACATTAGTTTATTTCTGCAAACTTAATTGATTTCCTTCAGTCTTCTTCTTTGTGTCTATTGAATGTTGCATACATGTGTTAAATTGTGACTGTCTGTTTAGTATGAACTTATTTCTGAATCCAAACCCATTATCATCAATTCTTTATTGCCACATAACGATTCTTTACAATGGATCTGTTCCAGGGTTTCTGAGGATGTAAAGGCTTAAGGAAAAAATAATATCTTTACTCTGTAGAACAGTAACTAAGTTGGCATCAGAGAATTTTCTAGTATCATTAGAGACCTTTGTCCACTCTAAAACCAGTGGTTCTTATCAACATTATAAACTTTGAATAGAATGATTGCATTTTTTCCATGAAATGCATAGTGTTTTGCTTACCAAAACATGATTTTATATTGTTCATATAACAGATTTAATCATTTCTTTGATAGATTATCTATATGAATAAAATGCAACCAGTCTGAAGAATTTACCAGGAATAAGTACAGGCTTCTGTCCAAGACGTGGCCTTCTGCCTCATCATTTTAGATTAAAGGATACAGTTTTGTCCCTCCTTTTCTGGCCTTTGTACATGTTAGCTAAAAAATTTCATTCCTATTATTCACCATTACAGAGGTTAAATATTGCCTAATTGTTTCCAATATTGTTTGATAACATCTATTTTATGCATTAATTAATTCAAAAGTCAATAAAGGGTATTATTTATGTTATCAGTTGGGCATGAATCCATTAAAATTTTTGAGATAAGAATATAGTTACATGGCACTTTTTTCTTTTTTATATTATTATATTATTAATTAGAACGAATGTTTACAGAGACTTTGAATTTCCATTTATTCATTGTTGCATTTTTCTCCCTTCCCAACCCTCCCCCCAATTCACTCTTCTTTTCGAAAGGGAAAAGGAAAATTCTATCATTGCTATACAATCCCTCTCCCCAAGTCCACTCCACTATGCAGCCTTCATTCTGGACTCCCCTCATGGTAATCATACCTAATCATATATTGCTTTTAAACAGTTAAGAATATAGCTACATGAAACTTTTAAAGTTCTGAAACTTTGGAAGTAAATCTCTAAGCTCATTTTTAAACTTCTTTCTTTATGACTAATATTCCAATGATGAAATGTTTGTACATACAGGGGACCTAAATAGTTTAGCTCTTTGCAAAAAGAAGGCTTACCTGTAAGACTAACCTATAACAACCTATTATCGAGCGCTCAGTAGGTGTTATGTTCTAGAGGATCCATGAGAGAATCAACAGCAGCGGCTCATGCAAAATCTGTTTATTCTGTGATTTTCTGCAACCTAGTAAATCATAAACAACACATGGCAACATATGCAATACCCAATCTTAAATAGTAAAACCACAAAGATAGACCCACAATAATAACTTGACACAGTTCTTTCAATTTCATTGTAAGGGAAGGTTAAAGATACTGTAACTGAATCTCAAGAATAACTTACGATAAAATATTCAACAAAATCACAGTCATGTTTCAGTCCTCTCTATGATTTAACTAGAACCTAATGCACAGGTAGATGATAAAATTGCTAGTTCCATTTTCTTCACAACTAAGAATTATACAATCACACTAAGCTTGACAATTATCCTCAGAAATTACTTGATAATAATGTCTAATTTTTGCATGAAATTTTTCTTAATCTTAGACTCTCTCTGCATGAAATCCTATTGATCAAGTAAGATGGTACCCTTGAAAAGAAATTTGAAACTAAAGTGTAAACAAACAACTCACAAGAGCAAGCAACTGAAATCACAAACAGAAACCCAGTACTCTAGATTCATTGCATCAATTTCTTTGGTTTAAAAAGGGGACTTAATATCATGAATATTAAAATTATCCTCAATGCCAAATAACTTCTGAAGTAGGAATTAAATCTACATTTTTTTCAAATTCCATCTGAATTTAAAAATCACTGTACGATCATATTCATACAATTTGAATAGAAAATTACTATATATATCTTGGGACAAAGATGGTCAATCTCCTTCCATGAAATTTACAGCCTATGGAAACAACTGAAGCATCAGCAAAAGTATCTGTATGGTTATAGTTATGATGGGCTGTTGAGTTAGAATCAATTCACAGCTGACCCTCCAGTAGATCCTCAGAGCCCTGGTAGCCTAGTGGTAAGAAGCTGTGCTGTCATCTTGAAGGTATTCAGTTGGAATCCTCCAGCTGCTCCCCATAAGAAGGATGAGGAATCTCCTCCTGTGTGATGAACTGCCTTTGAGCCTTTGAAAAAACCTGCTAGAGCGACAGCTATGCAGCTATGGATTGGTTCTGACTCTTAAAGGTACACAACAAGAAGAAGAAAATAGATAGATAGATAGATAGATAGATTGATTTATGGCAACCACTTCCATAAATTGCTTGCCTCGGGAAACCCTACGAATGTGGAGAAACGATGAAAGTCATGCAGCTGTTGAGGACATTGGTTCTTAGGGTCGCTATGAATCGCCTATGACTCGACGGCACTTAACAAAAAAAATATATATATATATAAAATCTACCACAAATGACACAAATTTACTGCCATAGTGTTGGTTCCAACTCATAGTGACTTTATAGTACAAAGTAGAACCCCATAATTTCTGACTGTAAATCACTGGACACACAAAATAACATTTTTTCTGCAGAACAACTAGAAGGTTTGAACCACTAACTTTTTGGCTACCAGTTAAAGGGTTAGTCTGTAACTCCACCAGAGCTCCTTAAACATTGTAGTGTGTATTTTAGTCGTTACTACGTTCTGTCATTATATGTATATATTAAAGTTTAGGGAGTACTGGTAGCCTAATAGTTTAAATACTCGGATCCTCATGAGAAATTCAGAGGTTCAAATTTACAAACCACTAAATGGGAGAAAAATGATCACTTTCCAACTCTCAAGATTTAGAACCTTGGAAACACTAACAGGCAACTCTGTTCTGTCCTGTAGGATCACTGTGGGTTGAAATCAATTCAGTGACTCTGGGTATATAGAAGTCCTGAATTCAGTAAGTTAAAAATAATTGTAGGGAAAAAATATTGGAAATTCATGAATGTTTTTTCACAGAACATTTTACTGTAGAGCAAAATAATCACCAGTTTCACTCTTAACAAATAGTTTCTTAGACACCATATAATTCAAGGATATCCAATTGAATTGTCAGCTCACAAAATGTAACAAGATATGATCTACAGACTTGTAAAATAATTTAAGCACATCTTTGATATATCATAATCAATTCTTATATTGTAGCATTTAATTATTGTTAAATGTTAGAACTTTCGAGGATAATGGTGATGAGGGTGACTTTAACATACCAGTACATTATATTAGTGAGTTTTTTTGCAGTTGTTTCTCATTTCATCTTAAATTTTGAAATAAGAAGATGGAAACAATATTTTAAATTTAAAAAAGGGAGAATGACTTTTTTCCCAAAATTTAATATTCTGTGTTGTTTCTTAAAACATATAGTTCATAATTGTCTAATTGATTAAAGTAAATTTTAATCTTACCTTTATTATTTGAGTTAAAATCATATAGAAATGACAAATAAGGTTATGTAACGATTAAGTAATTCACTTTTATTGAAGAAGAGAAGAAGTTAACAGTCTTCTAAACATATGGTACTCTTTGAACTAATAGTCTTCCTTAAAAAGGAAATCTTTTCTGCCCTGGGGAACATTTTCTTTCCCAGGATACTTTCTAAATGAAGGAATCCATTTTACTTGCCACTCAAGGAGATTGCTAAAAAGATAAAAACTTTATCTGCTAAAATATTGTCAGAGATTCTATTAAATCTATAGCTTGATTTAGGTAGCATTGGAATCATAACAGTAAGCCTTTAATCCATATATATGGAATGCACTTTCATTTCTTTCGGTTTTCTTTCGTTTTATAAGGAATAGTAGTGGTACAGCACACTATGCATTGGGCTGAAAATTAAAAGTTTGCTAATTTGAAAACACCAGGTTTTATTAGAGAAAAGATGAGACAGTTTCCTCCATGTCCAACCTCAGGAAACGTATAGATGTTTGTCATGAATTGGAAG